AAGATGACTTTGAACCGCAACCCCCAAAACTACTTTGCCGAGACCGAGCAGGCAATGGTAAGATTTGCCTTCTGCAATCCGAAAATAAGACGTCATTCTAATGGTTACACAGTTCCAACCTGGCCACATGGTCCGCGGTGTCGACTTCACGGACGACCCGTTGCTCCAGGGTCGCATTTACTCTTACCTCGACACGCAACTCAACCGCCACAACGGTCCGAACTTTGAGCAGCTTCCCATTAACCAAGCGCGCGTCAAGTCCCACAACAACAACCGCGATGGCGCAGGGCAAATGTTCATCCCTCTTGGCACTGCGGCTTACAGCCCCAACACTGTTGGTGGTGGCTGGCCCAAGCAGGCGAACAAGGATCAGGGCCGTGGTTTCTTCACATCGAACCGCAGATACTCGGGCACCTTGACGCGTGCCGTTTCCGACACCTTTGCCGACGTCTGGAGCCAACCTCGTCTCTTCTGGAACTCGCTCAACAAGGTTGAGAAGCAGTTCCTTATCAACGCTATTCGCTTCGAGACGAGCAAGCTCACCTCGGACGTTGTAAAGCAGAATGTTCTCATTCAGCTCAATAGAGTCTCGCACGAAATTGCCCAGCGTGTGGCTACCGCCATCGGCATGACTGCTCCTGACCCGGATCCTACCTACTATCACGACAACACGACCCAGTCGGTCCGCCCCTTTAGCGACAAGCTTCCCAAGCTCGACGGTCTCAAGGTCGGCATTCTCTCTTCCGTCACAGCAACCAACGACTCCTCCATCAGCTCCGTCAAGTCTGCTCTGAGCGCCAAGGAGGTTGACGTCAAGGTCGTGGCGGAGCATCTTGCCACTGGCATCGACCAAACGTACGCGGCCTCTGATGCCACCGACTTTGATGCTGTCATCGTCGCCTCTGGCGCTGAAAGCCTTTTCTCCAGCAACTCGAGCAGCACCCTCTACCCAGCTGGTCGCCCAGGCGAGATTCTCCTCGACGCCTACCGCTACGGCAAGACTGTTGGCTCCTTTGGCAGCGCCGGCTCGGCTCTTACCGCCGTCGGCATCCCAAGCGGTGAGGGTGTCTACCGCGACGCTACTGCGGATAACATCATCTCGGGCCTTGAGACCTTCAAATGGCTCTCGCGCTTCCCTACCGACGACTAAATCGGACAGTCGCGTAGGACATGTATTCTTTCCATGTTTCTCACTCACATTGAACCTTGTGTCCAGACCGGTCTTTTCTTTGTCACTAGTGGCTCAGGACACGGGACAAGGTCACAGGGTCTTCTTGTACATAGATTTCTCCGCAACCTCGGCGCGCAAGACGCGCGCGCGAGGCTCTGGAGAGGATTTTCCTTGACGACTGATACCAGATCGCTCAGGCGAACGGCTTAATGAATAATCTCACCACGAATCAAAAGACTTCAAAGCTCCAAAACCATCGTGCATGCACTGTTCCTAGTCTCCCGCCATGGTGCCGTGCCACTCAAACTAGGTTTGCGCTCCCTGGGCCGTCCTTCCTATTCCAGTAAGCACACTCGCCAATGAGATGCCGCCAGCAGGCTGCCTTGTCCCTGTCACCGTCCCCCGGGCTGACCACAGCGCTTGGCACACGCGCAGTCGTCTGTGCTACATAACTTGCAAGTGCTTAGCAAAGACCACACACGCGGTGGCAATGGCATCAAGACATCCTTGTTGGCGCGCGGAACGGATTGCCATTCATAAATACAATTTCCCCATGATGACTGTTGCCGGCCCAGCTTGCTGCGGACTTCTCTTCCATCATTTTTGTGAGCTGTCTAAGAATAGCCGCGTACACCCAACTTTCCGCGCGTAAGGCGTCGGCTGCGTATGAGGCTTGTTCGCGAAAGTCGTGGCATACTCAGGACCGCGTCAGACGCATATAGGGAGTATTCTAGTCGTCATAGGCCAGAAACTCACTCGAGAGCATTCAAAGACATGTATAAATTGGAACAGAGAGAATGAGAAGCATTCATGTGCGCCAGCTCTGCAGCTCTTTGCGTCAACAGAAGCTCATTTTCTCGCCGTCCTACTGCCACTGGACACACCTCTTTCCACAGCGCTCCCGCCGTCTTACCCAGTAGAGATTGCGGCTGGTGAGCAAAGGGTAATCTGTGCAAACTATACTAAATGAGCCGCGCTCTCGCGGCTGTCACTTGTTTGACATGAAGAACACTTGGACGACACGACGGTGTCAATTTCATGATGGACGCGCGTGCAGCAGAACTCGAACTCTCTTCTCCCGCGCATCTCTGCGCAAGAACCCTGCGCACACTCTGGCCATCTATGTCCTACGACATCCAGTCGTTAACAACGCTCGTAGGGACCAGCGCAAGTGGACGTCGTCCACTGTAGCTCACATACGAATCGGCGCCGGGCGCTTGCTTCCATGCGCTGTCTCACCCCTACGCCACGCGACGGGAGGGCGACTGGAGACAAGGAAGCGGCGGGCGACGACAGCGGGGATGTGGGTTCGTTGGGTTTCTGACGCGCAGACACACTGGGCATTCTTCATGCAGGTATATTCTAAAAGAGCTGGTGGGGGTGGCAGAGTTGATGACAATGCTGATGTTTTGGTTGGTCCCGGTGGCGGGGATGAGGTGGGATCAACGGCGCGCGGTTGCGTGGGGACGGGGGAAAATGATGGGCGGAACGGAAAGAGAGGCGTTTGTGGAACTGTGGTACGGCGCTGAAGAGGAGGCGTTGTTTGTGTTTCTGGGACAAGGGATTGTGGGTTTGCTGGGTTTGGTGTGCAGTTGACGCGCTCGCGGTGATGCATTTTTGGAGAAGAACTGCCCCGGAGTGGCGCAAAATGTCGCGAACTTTCTATCCCAAAATGCTCTGACCGCACGGTAAACTTCACCGTCTTTGGCGTAATGAGCTTACAGGTACATTGTGTTGGCGCGACTCTACATTTGCGCAGGCAGCAAGTACACCAACATCCGTGTCCGTACTCGTCCTGTACATCCACCATTCAACTCAACCCATCCACACTCAACCAGCCAAGCACAACTCCTCGTCCAAATCCCCCAAACATATTATTCTCTTTGTCATGGGAGCAGTCTCATTGCAGCACAAGCAGTAAGATGAAGTCAGAAGTAGGAGCTATGTGACGACCTGCCAGGGACGGACAGCGGGGTACGTTCGTACCACGCATCACGCACCACCACCACCACCACACTGAGCCGTTTTTCGGGCCAGCGGCTGCGCTTCGTGAGAGACATGGCACGACTCCTTCGATATCTTCACGCGCACCTGCTTGGACGCGGCAAGAGGTGCAGTGACGATCCTTCGTCTTTCTGCTTGCACCTGCGCGATTTGGTTTGACGCGCCACGACAAGGCGAGCCGGCGGGCGGTGTGCCGGTTGAAACCGTGTGGGCTGGATACAGTGACTGGGTTTTCAGCATGTGTGATGGTGTTTCCCGCGGTCTAGTGCGAGGTTTGTCTGCCTTATTTCATGCGCTTTTTGTTAACCAAGATTTGGTGACGAAAGTTGTGGTACACATGAGGACATAAGGTGGTCAGAGGCAGTGCAGAAGGGGAGCATTTGCGCGCTATTGCGGACGTTGATTGGACAGGGTACTTGGGAGCATTCATAAGTCTCTGGGGATAGAAACGAGGAGCATCAACATTTGTCGCTTTTGAAGCTCTCCATCATCCTGTAATGACGTGCTTCGTGAAGCTATCTCAATGGGCTCGGAAGCTCGCAAGTAGCTCAGAGCACCATCGCATCCGCCGAAGAACAAAGACAAGGAAGGCAAGTGGGCAAGGGTATCTTCGTTCCCACAGACCGCACCAAGTGCGCGATGTATTTGTCCTTTGGGCTTGTGACTGGAGGTCTGCCTCTATATCCGGAAGTTGTTTGTCAGTCAGCAATAATCGCGAATTTGTAGCGAAAGTTCCAGGTTACGTGTTGAGCATGGGCCGGGGACACATGGGCGACGACCTCATCGCGCGCGAAGATTGATGACATGGCAACGCACAGCCGCGATGACATGGCGACGCGCGATGATGTCGTGGTCAGAGGCACAGGGAACATTCGACTAGAAGCATGTGGAGGATTGACGAAGCGTTCGCTTTTCCAAGACACGCTTCAGCCCAAAATCTTCTGTCGGCAAAGGAAGCGTCTGACAGCTAAAAAGCATGCACGGGTGAGGGAGACTGATGGGTCTCTGTTGTGGCTCTGGAATAAAACTGGTTTACTGGCGCCTCTTTTGGTCTTTTCTTCGCACCACAGTGGGTGCAGACAGAAATGAGACGTCTCCTCCCTAGGGGGGCCCCATGGGGCGTCGTCCACAATCACAGCTGCGCCTGGGGAGCGATCGTCCAGGGTCACAGATATGCCTAGGGAGCAAAAATCTGGCTGTACTGTCACAACTTCGCTTGACGAGCTGTTATTCGAACTGAGTATCATACCTTTCAACACCCACTATGGCACTGCTTCTCTCCGCAAATGCGCCCGTGTCAGCCTTTCCAGGGATTTTTGACAATTTAGTGTGCAAATAACCAAGAAAATATGTAGAAGAGCATAAGGGTCACATCCGAGTCAAGTACGTCATGCTCAGCGCACTGCAGTCAAAGATTGCCCCTGAAACTGCCAGCCCCTGAGGGCCCCTGGAACATGACAAAGTGATGCAGTCCGCGTTTCGCCCTCGGCAGCTGCAACTAAGAAATCGAAGAGATTTCGAGCATTTCTCCAATCGTAGTTGCCCATCCGCAAGGCGTAAAATAGCCGCCGCTCGAGGTTTCTGCCGACTGGCCGAAAAACCACCATATCACAACAACCATCGATCGCATTGTTTGACAAACAAAAGTGAGCGTTTTCCATGTTATGGAAGATCTATAGGCCGCAAAAGTCCAACGCTTGATCAAATTTGCGACTGCAATCGCCGTGGCAACTCCAAAAGCTCCACTGGCATCTCCATCCCATCACTGCATGATAATTCAGCAAAATATCATAAAGATAAGTGGAATTTGAAGCCAAAAGAGCATTGCGTCGGCCGGGAATCGAACCCGGGGCTCATCGAGACAGCAATTGTCGTGATGTCCTCATGGTGTTGAGTTAACGCTCAACCACACTAATCACGTGTTTGGCAACGATGAATTTTACCACTAAACCACCAACGCACTTGGGCGGATCACGAAGGGTTATTGGGCAAGAATGTATAATACAAGATTTGTGCAGGCTTAGAAATCATATTCGTCCCCCTGATTTGCCCCCTGCCCCCTTCGCCGACGGCGAAGAAATTCGGATTTATTTAAAGTTCTTGCTTGTCAGCCCAGTCTTCAAGTGGGGCTAGGCTTTTTAATTAAGCGAACAGCTAGAGAGTGAAGTCGCTGACTTGGCGATGATTTAATTTAACCAGTACGGAATCAAGCTACACGATGTTCATGCATGAATGTGCAAAATATTTACCATTCGCCACTCGAAGCTGCACCTCGCCCCCATTCCCTAAATAGACAGCATATTCTGTGATACCTGCAGGATCCACTTATTTTCGACGCGATTGGTTACGAGCGCGGGGTGCGGCACAGCATCTCATGATCGTGTTGATTGCGGGAGTGAGCCAACCTTCACACCACCAGAAGGAGAAGAAGCAATCAATTCTCTAATGTATCTACACCATGGAGACTTCATCGACGACAGCATCATGGCTCTCCTTCCTCGCGACATCTGTCGGGCTGGGCTCGCTCATCTCACAAGCCAGCGTCATCAACGACAAAATGGACCCGTTCCATGACCAACGTTCAGTAAAACACCTGGGAATCTGGTTCTGCCGACAGCCGCAGTTCCCCTTTTGGAAGGTTGCGAAGCCCCCTCCAATTGGACCTGAGATCAACGCAAAGCTCGATGGATTCTGCGAATTGGACGTTGTACACCTATCAAGAGTACCCGTGACACAACAAGCCGGCGAAGCGGGATGGGCTACTTTCCTTGCCGTCATCCACCAAGAGCAGTTGAGAATCGAATCCTCTTCTGTTAGCGATACCGAAGCCGAGAAGGGACTGCTTTTAAAGAAGATTGAACTCGAGCTCATTCGTCGCGGCTGGGAGTCTCTCCCAAAGTCGGCCCTCGTCCGCCACAGGAAATCGGCGTGCATTACAATCAGCCGAACGACGCTTTTGACAATGCTTTCGCTGACGAATGCGCGTCCCATTTTCCGCCATAGCGATGCAGCAGGCCATCGTGCAGCGTATGCATCCTACTCTGGACAGTGGTACATAGACTGGCCCCTGGGTTCACCAGCCACGGTAAACTTTGCCGCTCACGACTCCCATTCCGCTGCAACAGACGTGTACCCGCTTTCGTTCGAACGGAGAGTAGACAAATGTATCCAGATGACTGCTGGAATCATTGCGACGACGTTCGACTTCAAAGTCGCGTTCCCAGGCCGCAAAGCACCGGGAAGATATGTTCTCGAGCACATCCCAAAAGGATTTCCAGGTGCGCACGGAAGTCGGCATCTCTACAACATGATGGGTGGAAAAGTCTACGAGATCGACTTTTTGTTCGCGCGGAAGCTTGATCCGAAAGATCCTGACCCACCAGAGGCAATCAAGCTCAATCTTCCCAGTACTGAAGGAGGACATGGCGTCCAAATGTTTGTCTGTGCTCCGGAACAGGCAACATTGACTCGAGCGATGGACTGTCTGCCGTGGTCATCACTCTCCTGGAGCGTTCATAGGGGTCTCCGTGACATTCTCATGGCATTCAGTAAAACTCGCATGACTGAGATGCGGCCACGGTTTGCGTCTACGCTCCGCCAAGCTGTGCTGGACAATCCTTTGGCGCTGGATGCACTTGGATGGGAGCCGTCTTTCGTCCGACAACACATGGGAGAGATGGCTGCAGCAGCGGTCGTTGCCGGTAGCGGAAACTCTGGAGATCTTGTCCGCGTCGTCACGGATGTTGCCCTGGCACTGTGTGGCAGCAGTGATCAGAAAGACCTCGACGAAACCACATTCTGGAGATCCCCTGCCCAGAATTATGATGCCACAGGTCTTGATCGACAAGCCATCATCGCTTTGACAAAGCTCTTCATCCTCGAATGGAGCACCGAATTTGACTATCAGATGTATCACGACTTTCCCCTCAAGCTCTTTTTTGCCTAGCCGATTTCTCAGATCTTTCATACGTTGGCTGTCAGCCGAATTTTCTCAGCTCATTCGCACGTTGGCTGGATTTTATGCGGAATCATTTCATGTCAGATTGGACGTGTAGTCCGGGACCAACATGTTTGAAGACGAGAGAGACCCGAGGGCTTTTCGAGAATCGTATCCTCTTGCAACTCCGCACCCACAATGTTCTCATGTGCTCGTATACAGCCGGAGCCGTTTGTTTCGTAGAAAACAAGAGAGTCCCCGTATGCCGTAGCATCGCGTTTGACCACAAGCCGACCGGCTCTTGGAGTGTTTGTCTCATTTACCCATCCGCTGTCCCGAAACGAAACGGAACGTTCTCGCAATGCCTCCAAACCGGAAGTCCAGAGAGAGCGGCCCGGCAGGAAACGGCTGGTAAATCTGCCATAGCACTTGACGAAACCGCGAGAGGATCCTTCTTGCTGGAACCAACAATTGTCTCCGCACACGCGGCTAGCTCCGCTCGCATCGCTCGGCAAGCCACCCGTCGTGTAAATCTGTTTCGGTATTCCGGCGTGGTAGCGAGGAGGGTGTCCGAAAGCCTTCGGTTTCTCTCACAAGGAGACTCCATGTTCCTCGACGAGCTGCTCCCTCACTGGTGGGAGGGATCGCCAGGCGGAAACAGGGCGATGCCGCATAGTAGCGGTAGGGCAGGTGAGGCAATCGTGGTCGTCTACATTATTTGAGCCTCATGACCAAGGGGCTCGGCTTTTCAAGAAGGTCCATGGTTTGGTTGGCATGTCGGGTCGCTTCAATCCGCGTTTTCTGGCATTCCGCACGCTGCAGCGTGAGCACGGTGGACTTAAGAGGAGCCGAGCGGTAGAGCGTTCGTCCGTACACGCACGGTCGAGAAGGCAGCAGGAGGAAGCATTTGGCCAATCTTGCGAGATATCGTAGACGACGACTGTTTGAAAGCTTGAGGATTTCAAAAAACCTCGCGTCCTTTCGGCCGCAAGCGATCAGCTCGAGTCAGTCGATGACCCCAGGAAGATCCGCATGACTCGCACGCCACCGACAACTCCCACTTTCGGCATGCAAGTGGCGGGGCTGCTGTGCTTGAACACCCTCTCATCTCCACGCTTTTCAAATTCATCCGGTCAACGACCTCGTCCAAACAGGAAAATTGTCGATGCTGTCTAGATGTCTTGTCACAAAGTCGACGTCAATACTGGCAACGACGTCACGCTTGCCGAAGCCATCGGCTCTCAGATCCTCCGCCTGCTCTGACTTTCAGACCAACTTTCCGCCATAGAAGCCGTCCAGATACCGCTGAATCTTCTTACGAGCGCACATATAGCCCGAAGAAGCTCGCAAGCTCGCTCTGAAGATGAACAAAGGGTCTTCAGTCCTGCAACGTCGAAACGGTCCGGCAGGCGTTGGCTGCTAGCAGATGCTGGAAAATCTCGGGATCGAACGATCGCGGCGCGGAGCGCCGGGCTCCCGTTCCTGTCCTAAGCCTTGTAGCCGCTGTCAGTTTCGAGGCTCTCCCTAGTCGTGAGCGCCCTGCCAGGTTTTGTGGATGTCCGTCTTCTCCGAGGCATTTCAGAATGTCAACGTACCCTCAACCTAGCGCCTGGCCCAAAGGATTTCCTAGTGCTCCCGATCCCAAGTCTTGGATTGCAGACCACCAATGTGCTCAGAACGCGTTTTCGAGAATCCATCATAATCATAAAGGCGCCAAGCCAAGTCATGAGAGACTGACCTCATTCGGGAAACTTCGAGGACAACTATCTGACACTGGTATCTTGTTCATGGTATGGGAAGAAGCGGCTTTTGCTCCAGTCGTTTTCTATGCTGGCTCAGAAGCCGAAATTAAGAAAGCATTGGTAATGAAGAGTAAGGATGTGCGCTGCTCAATGTCAATGTCAACAGACTCGAGATGCACCAGGCAAGTCACAACATGTTTTCATTGGTCCAAAGGCTCAGAAATCTTTTCAGCAATGTTTATGCACGCGTCAATAAATCTGTCATAGCATTACTTGTGACTGTTGAAAAAATGAGGCCGCATTTGTATTCAAGAGGAGGCGGACTCAGGGCACGTGCTAGATCCAGTACAACCCAAATACGCGCAAGTCCAACACGCACGTACAGTTTCCTTGGCCTTATGCTGCGACCATGGCTCGATTTGTCAGAGACTGGCTCTTCACGTTCCGAGAGGAAGCCGAGGACGACTGCCACCATCATGGCTCATCACTGAACATGATTACGACTGCGCTGGCTTAGAAGAAAAGTTGTGCCCACCATTTGGTAAACAGCAACGGCAATTTGAACATTTCAAATACCACTAGGGTGTAAGTGGCAAAGTCGACTTGCCACCTCACACATTACAGGTAACAGAGGCCTTCTTTTCTGTGCGCTCGTGTGGAATTGGTTTCATCTTCGAAAATCTGCGCTAGATGCCCATCTCCCGCTCTTGCCTTGCTTCCCCCGGGAAATCCAGGAAAAACACAAGGTCGTTTGAATTGCACGTCCAAAAAATCATCAAATGGAACCGAGAGTCCCGAGGCTCCTCACTCACTCGGAAAAGCTACGACTTCTCGCGCTGGCTCGGACTCGAGATCGCCTACTGAAACCCCAAGGCAGACGGTCACGTAGAGTGCAGCTGACTCAATGTTTACCTGGTCTTGCTGGCGGGATTTTGTCATTCGGCCGGACCGGAAATGCAATTGTTCTTGGGAAATTCCGAAAGGGCAACTCCATGCGCGACAGCATTCGCCTTGAACGCTCAAGGGTTACAATGTCACTTGTCACAGAATTTTCTATGCCGGACCGCCGGCCCTCCGTCCGCCTTGACCACGGCTGCGTAGTGCAACAGCCCTTGTCGAATGCAGGTTTATGGAATCTGGAAGCACGAGAGAAGGTCGTCCAGGAAACCTTGCGGCTCTGGGCTGCCAAGTGACCTCGCTGCCTAGGTGCAGGCCTTGCGATGGTATTGTACAAAGTAAGGCGGACGCCCGCCAACGGGTCGAGGTGCTCCTGCTTTCCAG